CATATCGGAATCTATGGGACACAATGAAAGCAGTCTTACGAGGGAAATTCATAGCAGTGAATACTCATTAGGAAAACAGAATGAGCCCAATTAAACAACCTGATGCTGAACGTCAATGTGAACTGATGAGATTATTCATAGTCTTTATTTGACATTGTATAAATAGCCACATGTTTTGCTATAGATATAGTCGTGTGTTAGATTGTAGGCTGCTGCTTCAGAACTCTCTAGAGATGTCAGGAAACCTGTGGTATAAGCAGTATATTGTCTTTTGAAAATATGAAAAACCCAAATTTGTTTTGGATAAAGAAATGAGGACTTATATTTTTAATTTAAGAATGTATCTCTTGTATCCTCATGGGTGTTAAGTATAACAAAAGAATTAAACAATATATATAGAAATGATTATGGTTTATTTTATTTAGTCTTTTGATTTGGTTTATTGAATGGTAATAATCACAAAAGGAAAACTGACTTCACTCTCAAAAAGTCTAGTGTTGCAAATATTCCTTATTAAACAATACAACCATATCAACCAAATAATGCAAATTCTACCAGGTTTTGGTGTTGATAGTTTTTAAACTAACAACACAATATGTCCTTAATATTTGTATATATACACATATTGTGTTTTATTCTAAATAGAGTTGATTTCAGTGTTAACTGCATGTGATTTTACTCAAAATTGGGTTTTTATTTTAGAGGTACTATAGATAGTCTGTTATGCTCGACCCCTCCTTGTAGCTAGATCATCTTCTAGCTTGGTTAATTCCCTATGATTTGTTTAGTACATTTTCCATTTCAGAAGCATTGTGTCTTATTTCTATCATGGGTTCAGAGAGATTTGAAGCAGCACACAAATAACTGCCCAATTATACTTAATTCTGATTAAGTTTTGAAAAATGTTTCCTCCCAAATACTTATAAGAATCTTTCTTAAACTCAGAATCTTAAAGATTCTTTACTTAATATCCATTATTTCAAATAATAATTTCCCTCTCTGTCTCTCATCTCAATAGACTCAGAGTCAACAAATACATCTTGAAAAAGAGTTAACATTTATTGCAAAGTACTGTGTTCAGATGAATAAGAAATATAAAATTCAAAGAATTTAAGTAGATTCCACAAGATTATTGAGTTAGGATATAAACCCAGATTGGCCTGACTCAAAATGCATGGCTTCCCTTTGAGCAAAAGTGTGACATGAGAGAAAGAACTGAAGACTGCCAAGAAATAGGACAACAAACAGAGAAGCTATGAGGTTGTAGGGGTATTGTGATACTGTTTCTTCTATGTAAATATCCTGGTAAGCTTCTATCCTGAGTTTCTCAGACGTTCCCCTTCCCTGTCTTCTAAATCCAGTCTTTACCCTCACCACAACCTTGTATCTTCTAGCCTCTTGGGCTCCTGTCTTGGAGACATCCCAAAGCATCATAGGGAGGAGGAGAAAATGAGTACTAAAGGAGGGAGGTGTGAGACAAAGGAATCTTTCCTTGCTTGACAGAGTTTTCTGACCATGGAAGAAAAATAAGGTGAAGTCTCCACATCATTTTTTATGGTTTGTCTTTTACATGCACTCCCTAAGTCCTCTTCTAAACAACCTAGCCAACTCAGGAGGAACCTGATGAGTCAATGACATCTGAAAAAAGTGAGTAGATTCTACTATCTGCTGATTCCTCTTTGAGTGATCAATTCTCTGCTGTTTTCTTTATTTCCATTCTATGCATTCATCTTCCTACTCCTCTCTACACATAATAAAACATCAAACTCCTATCAATATTGTCCATATCTGGTCCATTCTGTCGATGCTCAATATCACTATCTTTTCCACTCATACTGGTCCTTTATATATTCATACTCTGTCTGTTCTCCCTATATCCTTTATGATTTTCCATTCCTAATCTATCCTTTCCACATAATAGTTACTTGTGCCTAATATGCTATCATTAAATCTATTGTCTATATAGCACATTCATCCTACCCAAATATCAAACTTTTTATGCAAAGAAGGTCCACTCTTCCTGCACTTAATCAAACTTCTTCATGTTTTGTGTGATCCTTGCAGATCTACAATCCTTGCATGTTTCCAAGTCTGCAAATTTTCTGGCAATTCTATTTATATTCTCCACTGGCAATCATTTCTACCCAGATCTTTTTTCATATTCTGCCTTTACTACATTCCGTTCTTATCATCTGCAACTTATTGGTTCTACCCATATCATACCTTCCTCCATTTTCATCCACCCATGCATCCAGCCTGACATTTTTATACCTTTGCTAACCAGTGATGAAAGCAGATCTTTAAAAAGCAAATTAAGGAGGAGAGAAAGATAAGCCAGTGAATAATCTATGTCTGCAGGGTATGGGTAGTTTTGCAGAGGTGATAACTAGGACTGAAACATCAAAGATAAATCAGTATTTCTGGAAGCTAGGTGGGCATTTCAATAAACAGAAGCATATACACTGAGTCACAGAGTGAGAGAGTATCAGAGCATGTTTAGAAAAAGGACAGTGGACAATGACTAGATCCTTGTGGAAGAATTAAAAGAGAATACACTATGATACTTTACTGGATGAGTTTGTATGTGTTATCCAAAACTGGGTACTCTTGTAGTCAGTAATTCTACATAAATGTCACTCTAGAAATAAGTGGAGGTTAGACTAGTGAGAATTCAGATTTAGGTAAGAAAGACCAAGTAAGAGATTATTAAAATAACTAAATCAAGAAAAAGCAAGCACATGGTATAAGGGACTAGGGAAAAGGCAGTAGAAAGAGGACAGGATAAAAGGGACAGACATGAGAGGTAATTTGAGAAACAGTTTAGGTAGGATTTGGAGTATCTGTGGGTGAGATATATGGTGGGAAGTGGATGAGTATAAAAGACCTAGGTAATTTCCAGATCTCTAGCATGGAAACTAAGACCATTTATTGTAATAGAAGAATAATAGGCTTGAAAATATTTTCTAGATATTTTGTATTTCAAAACTCATGTGACATTCAGGAATTATGTTCACTCCTCGCTAATGTCACCTCAGCTGCCTAGCACCTCATTTACATCTATGGAAGCAAGGGCAGCCATGTTAGAGCAAGTTGAATGATATATAAGTTTTCTCAGCTTCAATGGGTGCAGCAATGAGAGGAACTTCATCAAACCCGTGAAGGGGAAATAATTAATGTCTCTGTGAAGAGATGGTATCTAAGCCAAATCCTGAAGACTAAGTAGGAGCCAGACAAGTTCACAGAGATTGCAGCCTAAACAGAGCTGTGTGATGATACATGTGTGCTCAGAGCTTTGGGGTCTAAAAGACAAGTGTACACTGTTGCAGGAGGTAAAGTTTTGGTGAACATTGTGGTAGATCATGAAGTAACTATAGGCTTTGTTAAATAGTTTGAACATTTTGTGTAGGCAATGGGGCATTATGAATAGGTTTTAAGTAGAAGAGTAAAATGGTTTTATTTGAGTCTTTGGGGAGAGGATATTGGTAGAGATACCAATTAGGAGTTCATATGTGGAAGGCCAATATTTTTAACATTTGCAAAGCATGAGGTATGAGAGTAGGAAGGATCAAAGGATGAATGTGAAGGTCTGAGCACAAATGCACACAAAGCACAATGGATGGCAAATTGAGGCCGTTATTAAAGAGAAAGTTTCGAAGTTAATGTCATGAAGGAAAATTGTAAGTTTGAAGTTCTCATTTATAAAGCTATTGTATTGTAGTGGTAGCAGCTTAAACTTTAAGGTATGAGAAGATGAAGATATGTCCCTACCACTATATAACGAGCTCTTTAAAGACTCTTATTAACCCTTTTTTTTTTTGGTACTACAACTCTACGGTTTATATCATAGTTTATCTCCCCAAAAATTCTAAACTAGTAAAGTTCAGTTGATTCTACTTCCTTGTCCTTTTAGCCTCTACACTACGTCCCAGTGCTATGACTGTACAGGACACAGGATGGAATTAATCCTTTATTTATATCAACTGGTGTGTGGAAATCCCAACCTCTATTCCATATTAGCTCTAGAAAAGTCTTGACATTTTGAAATGTAAAATTTTATCAAGGTAAAAAGGATGTTCCATGAGATGGATGATTTGGGATGACTCTTTATGATAAAGGTGCTTTAATCTCATTCTTAGAATTAGAACAACTTCAGAACTAATGAGATTCTTAGTCTTTCCATCACTCAGAATTCACTTCCTAACTTGATTTTCAGGTAGAAAAAGATTCTCTTTTTAAGTACTTGATTTTGTGGGCCTTTCATGCTTTGGTGTTCTGTTTTGGAAGTATCATGAATGTAAATCCAAGACACATCTTATAGTCCGTCCTTCATGTCACTTGAATTTTTCTGAACCTCTGAAGATCTGACTTCCTGGTTCCATTTCTTACAATCTATTTGACCCTGTATGAATCACTTAACTTCTCTATACCTCTGTTTTTCCTTAGGTGTTAAGTGGGGCTACTACTAGTACTAACTCTCAGGGTTGTTAGGAAGATCAAATGAATTAATATTGGGAGCATTTTAGAACAGTGCCTGCAATAATAATGCATGTTGTACATTGTCGCTATTCCTCCATTGTGTAACTTATTTCCTCAAAACAGAATCATGCTCCAGGTCATGAACAACTCTTACTTTAGGAAAAGCCAGATTGTCTTAATATTTTTAATTTTTGCATATGAAAATTTATTACTACTGTGTTTTCACCATCAAAATTAATGATTCTCTACTTCTTGCCTTTATATAGAGCCAAACTGGTGTCACTTCTTCTAGTGTTTCTTAATAAGTACTTTCCTAAGTGCCAGAAAAGACTCTTATTTCCAATGCAAAGACATTTATTTTTGCCCATGTTTGGCTTAGCTAATGTCTCAGCTCAATGATTAATTACATCTATTACATATATTGCATCCTATGAACATCCTCTTCCCAAGAAGCTAGATTCTTGCTGCTGCCTACCAAAACATCCATTCTCATCTCCTAAAAAGCATTGTGCAAGATCAGCACCATGGAGTGGAGGAACCACAGTGGCAGAGTAAGTGATTTTGTGCTGCTGGGCTTCCCAGCTCCTGTGCCACTGCAAGCACTGTTGTTTTCCCTCTCTCTGCTGGCCTACGTGTTGGTGCTGACTGAAAATGCACTCATTATTATGGCAATCAGGAACCACCCCACCCTCCACAAACCCATGTATTTCTTTCTGGCTAATATGTCCTTCCTGGAGATCTGGTATGTCACTGTTACTATTCCCAAAATGCTTGCTGGCTTCATTGGGTCTAAACAGAATCATGGACAGCTAATTTCCTTTGAGGGCTGTATGACACAGCTCTACTTTTTCCTGGGCTTGGGCTGCACTGAGTGTGTCCTTCTTGCTGTTATGGCCTATGATCGCTATGTAGCCATCTGTCATCCTCTCCACTACCTTGTCATTGTCAGTGGCCGTCTGTGTGTGCAGCTGGCAGCTGGCTCCTGGGCTGGGGGCTTTGGAATCTCCATGGTCAAAGTTTTTCTCATTTCTCGCCTCTCTTACTGTGGCCCCAACATCATCAACCACTTTTTCTGTGATGTCTCCCCATTGCTCAACCTCTCGTGCACTGACATGTCCACAGCAGAGCTCACTGACTTCATCCTGGCCATTTTTATCCTGCTGGGGCCGCTCTCTGTCACTGGGGCTTCCTACATGGCCATTGCTGGTGCTGTCATGCGCATCCCTTCAGCGGCTGGACGCCATAGAGCATTTTCTACCTGTGCCTCTCACCTCACTGTTGTGATCATCTTCTATGCAGCCAGTATCTTCATCTATGCCCGGCCTAAGGCACTCTCAGCTTTTGACACCAACAAGCTTGTCTCCGTACTCTATGCTGTCATCGTACCATTGCTCAATCCCATCATATACTGCTTGCGTAACCGAGAAGTCAAGAGAGCCCTACGCTGTACTCTGCACCTGTACCAGGGCCAGGATACTAACTTCAAGAAATCTGGTAGAGACAGGTAGAAAGGAAGTATGAGATCTAATAAAATACTATTAGATTTGAGATTGATGTCTTCTATGAAGCCAGTGAAATACTTGGGGCCCAAATTAAGTGCTGAAGTTTCAAGGGCATCACCCAAAAACTGGGAGTGAATTTCCTATAACTAGTCTGGGAAGAAGAAGAAGAAGGATGGATTTCAAGCTAGAAGTTGGATTTCTGCAGAACAAGACCATAAAATACAGGGCAGAGGCTGGCCCACTATTGTTTGCACTATTGTGATTTACATAGACCTAGTTCCATTCAAGAAAGCACAGGCTTCATTAAGGAAAAGCAACTGGAGACTTCTTGATGAGATCTCATCTAGACATAGGCCACTGAATATTGCCTATGAGTTAACAGATACCCAGGAGGTGATCACTCTGGTGCAAGTTTCAGAGCAAGAAGATAAGAAATTAAGAAATTTTTGTGCTGGCAATTTATCACCTCTTGAACAATGTCAGTTTCTAGTTTCATTTCCTTATTTATGGAGGCTAATGTTCAAACTGAACTAGTGACTAAGTGCAGTTGTTTATTTAATCTTCTATCTCCTTAATTATAACTATGCAGATCATAGACACAATCACATTTGCTTACACATCACTTTATTGGCCCAGAATGGTGTCTAGCACATGATGGCTCTGAGAAAATGTAATTAATGAATGTAGTGTGTAGCTAAGTAGGCAAGGCCTATCTGTCCCACTTACAGATAGGGTTTGCAGGTGGATGAACCAAACCCCTCACACTTACTAGTATATGGGGAGGTACAAATTGGCTCAGTCTTGCTAGAAGAAAACTGGGCAATATGTATCTCGAATCCTAAAAATACTGAGATAATCCTTGTGGGGGGCCTTGCCCCCCCCCCCGCTAGAACTCTTGAGTGCCTTTTATGGGCATGTCTGGCCCTGCTGTAAGTCTACCCGGCAACAAGGAAGTAGCCCCAGTACCCTCTCCTTGCTCCTTCCCTCTAGCCCTACGGTATATATGCTGTAGCAGCTTCCACAATAAACTAGACTTGATCAGAAACCTGTCTTGTCTCCATCTCTCGTGTCTCTTGTCCCTTGTCATTCTCACTCCCCCTCTAGGGTCTCCATTGACTTACCCGCGGGCCGGGACGAATCCTGATTTTAAAATTTGTGTAGTTATATATTTTTATGTATAATGAGAAAAACCTGGACATATGGTTAACTTCTAATAAGGCATTGTTTAGGAAAGTTATAGTCCTTACATAAAACGAAATATTATGAAGTCATTATGATCTAAATAGGGTTAATGATAGAAAAATATTCCTGACTATAATAAGGGAAAATATTAGGTTATGTAATAGTGTCAAAACCTATTTATTTATTTGTTTGTTTAAAGTTTAGAAGGAATTTGAGTAAACTGTTAGCTGGGGCTATGTAATGGATCTGATACTCTTATAAATTACATTTTGTGGCAAATCATTGTTAATAACATATTTATTTAAATAAACTTTTTTAGTCAATACTATAGACAATTTTGTTCACTGGGACAGAGAAATAGTTAGAAGTTATGTCAGTATAATTTTCAGAATTTTAGCTCTCTATTGTTTCTCCCAAGGCCCAGAGCCTTGAATACAATGAGGCTCCTATCTCCAGATGAGGCGACCAGCTGTTGATGCTGTCCTTCTATAGTTGTCTGTTACTTAATAAAGTTTGTGAAAGACTACTATCAAGGATATTGGGCATTATTTGCTCTTTTATATTTATTAAAATATATATGACAAAACAGTGATGTAACCTTATAAGTATCTTGTTATGTTTATATATAAAGTTATATGAAGTTTATATAAAGCTCTTATATAAAGTTCATTAAAAGTCTATGTACCAATTGTCCTTAAAGAGTAAGTTTCTGAATGGTATAGTGTTCTGGAGTTAAACATGAATATTGGCAGGAAGCAAAACTAGGTGAGGAGTATATGAGAATGTTTTAGAATCCTTGCACTTTTTCTGTAAATTTTATACTATTCCAAAATAAAACAAATATTTTTAAAACATTGTTAGTCTTTTTAGAATAAATAATTTATATAAGACTGATTATTTCAGTGGCTTTCATAAAATATAGTATGCTGTCACTTCCTTTATAGTTACAGTGATATATGTATAGCCAACACTACTTTTTTTTCCTAAAGATGGTTTTTACAAAACAATCCATGAAATTTTAATTGTCATGACACTCATGCATTGATATTATTTCAATTTACCTGACTGATAACTTACAAAAAAGAATAATTGGCACATAATTATTACATTATATATTTATCACTCTAATGAATTATATCACCACTAGGTGCATGAGTGGGCAGTTCCATGAGGCATAGAAAGCAAACACTTGGTGGACAGGTGTCTTCATTTTCTCCTAGAACCAGTTGTCAGGGCAAGACTGTCTTCCTTCATTTTTATGTTCTATAGGCTCATTTCATGAACACTAGCAGTCCCAGCCTTCCCAGAATTAGTGTCAACTCACAATGTGCCTTCCGACAAAGAAGATGAAAGCAGTAGGAGGAGGGAAGGCTGGGTTCACTCCTCTCCACCAAATTCCAGTTAGTCACATGCAGACTTTCAGATCCTCAAGGACTGGACAAAAAAGCATCTCTAGGATTCTTCATTTTCAGGGCCTTGTCTCAGTTCCTCTCAGTTGCATTTGAGGCACAAATGCATCTCCTGAGCCTTAGTCATTGCAAAAGTTGTAGCAGTCAATTCTAGGCTTTATGGTTGCTTCAGGCACAATTAATAGCAGAAGTCAAGAGCTCCTGAGGCTGTGGACAACTAGACAGACAGAACGGGCTGTGGCTTCACCCTATTCTTAGCACATGGCGCACACTTCAGGAGTGTTTATTCCTGAAGTTCAAAGCAGTGAGTGACTTCTTGTCACTTCAGAAGCCTCTTTATTCTGTTGTCCCACTTTTTGCTCTCATTATTCCATATTTTTTTCCCTGCTAGCCTCTCTGTAATGAAATTTCTTTTACCTCATTCCTACTGATTAAATCCTGTCTGTTTCATATTTCAGCATGAGTAATATTCTGCATTTGTGTACTTACCATAATAGTTTTAGAATGTGTTTATATACATAACACTTTTGATCCTAAGATCAATGATAGGATATTTTTGAGATAACTATTTTTAGCCTATGTTATGATGAATAAATTGGGGAATATTTAAGGTCAAATACCTAAAATATAGTAGAACCTAGAGTAAGGACCCTATCTTCTAAATGCTGAACCAAAATTATTTTCATTATACTACTTCCAAGATCTCTTGCTCCCATGAGTCTTGGATAATACCTCTCTGATGAAATATTTTCTAGGTTCCTAACTTAGAAAACATATCTTTTTTTCTTGGAGACCCTACAGTACTTTGTTTGTATATGCTATGCCATATGTAATATTCTATACTCATTGCAAAACCGTAAGTTTCCAAATGGCAGACAACATAACTTACATATTTTTGTTCTGAAGAATGTTGTGCACAATACCCTATACATGATAAGAGCTCAATAAAAGCAATAACTGTTTTTTAAATAAGGATGAACAAATGAAACCAGAACTTATAATTTCTTTCTAACTGCAATTTGGTACCCATTAACCAAGCTTTTCCCATCACTTCCTCCCTAGTAGTCTCCTCAGCCTCTGTTAACTACTTTCTATATTCAATTTTATGAGCTCAATTTTATTAGATTTCACATGAGTATCATCATAATGCGTATACTTGGATAAAGCTAGAAGAGAGGATTTGGAATGGTTTTACTACAAAGAAATGATAAATGAGGATATATACATGTATTTTTACACTGATTTGGACATTATGCAATGTGTACACAGCAACTCATAAATATATATAAATATTATGTGTCAATTAAAAATGCAAGTAATAATAGAAAAATAAAATACTGAAATTTTCTTAAGTGAAATAAGCAAATGAATACAGCTATTACCTTATTAACCCAATTAGGTTCTTACACTGTACTAGTTTTTGGATAATTTGATTTTGCATCATCTTATACATAGGAGTCAGAGAAAAGGATCATACCATACACCCAAGAAGAAATAAGTATGGTCTAGGTATAAACATGAATTTAGATGTGGACAAAGATTCAGTTTTCCTGTCCAGGTCCCCTGGACATAGTCTTGGCAATGCATGCAGAGTTTCCCTAGAGCTGGGACAGATTCCATGTAAGTGAATCTCCTGGGGAGGAGGCAGGGGCAAAAGGCCCATGAATGTTAAATATGCTGTCCTGTCTCTGCTACTGTCTTCTTGCTTTAGTGCTGTTCTACCTACCATGCAGTCAAAGCAAAGACCAAACATCAATCTTCAGAGATTATGAAAATATGCAGAGCAGTCTGGCAATCTGCTTTTCCATAATCAGTACAAATATCTGAAGAATTTTCTATTCTCAGAGTGGACAGATGGACTATGCTGAGCATTTGGAGGCACTAGGTGAGACTGGTTTATCCCTAAACAGAGCTCAACAGAAACTGAGGAGGACCTTTGGAAAATGTCAGTGGGCATCATTCTTGGGCAGAATGGGAAATCAATGGGAGAATTAAAATTCATTGTCCATTAAATCTTTATTCAAGTTTAGGGGGAAATTGGGCAGGTGCATTATCTCTTAGGTGTGGGAAAGAACACAGGATATGTTTTTTGTTCTAGAAAAAATCTATTTGTATGTGTTTTTCTTAAGAAGAAGCATATATAGGACTGAAAAATAAAATTTCTGTATTACAATGATAGATTCATTTCCCAGAATCCCATATAGATTTCAAGTCTCAATGCTTTTGTTCTGAAAACTAAGAGAATAAGAAAAATAGAGTGAATTCTGCATCCCTCCATGATTGAAAATAGAGCTCATTAAGTGGCACATTTGTGGCAAAGAGAGTGGAGGGGAATATGAGGCAATAAGTGTATGCTTAAATGTATTAAAGCAATACATTCAAAAAAAGATAAGATATAAGTGATCTGCCACTTAG